AAAATTGAACCAAAGTTCAGAAAAACAATTTTGATTCTTTTCAAATGAAATTGTTTTCTTACTTTTTAGAGAAGCAAAAGGATTAAAATAAATTTAAATGTTCTACCTATCTATCTATCTACCTATCTACCTACCTATCTAATCACTACCTATCTATATATCTACCTATCTACCAATCTATATATCTACCTATCTACCTACCTATCTAATCACTATCTATCTATATATCTATCTATCTATCTATCTATCTATCTATATATCTATCTATATATCTATCTATCTATCTACCTATCTATCTACCTATCTATCTATCTACCTATCTATCTACCTACCTATATATCTACCTATCTACCTATCTATCTATCTACCTATCTACCTACCTATGTACCTATCTACCTATCTATCTACCTACCTAACTACCTACCTACCTACCTACCTATCTACCTATCTACCTATCTACCTACCTATGTACCTACCTATCTATTTATTTGCGCGCATATATATCTGCAGGGTTACCCACACAGGTTGAAACTCTTTGAATTTGACGATAAAGTAAAAATTGAATAAAGTATTTTAGTTATTTACAAAATGATTTCAGAACTTAAACAGCTCATTTTTAACTGCAGAAACCCAATAATTTAAAAAAAGGACTAAATAATTTCCGTACACTCGTCTCTATCCATCAATCTATCTGCGTATCATAATTGTCTATCTATATAGCTATGTATCTATCTATCTATCTTTCCATGTATCATAATTGTCTATAGATAAATATCTACCCATTTATTTATCTATCTATCTATCTATCTATCTATCTATCTTTATATCTGGGTATCTAGGTGCTATCCTCTGCCTGGTATCTCTGGTTACCCGTTCTCCCTTCAGCTCCCCGGAGAACCTGGTGGAGTAGATCTACCTCATCATCTCTCCCACCTTCTCTCCCCTCATCCTCTTGATCATCTTGATCATAAACCTTTCCTTACATCCTCTCCTCCCTCATACCTCTAATATACCCCCCCCTCATACCTCTAATATCCCCCCTCCCCGGGGAAAATGATCTGGCGGCAGAATGAAGCGGGGTCCAGAGGTTCTAAGCTGAGGTGAATCCGAACTAATTATCCTGGAACCCAACACCTGCAATCCTACTCACCAGTATCCTTCCGGAGTTCAGACGTCCTGGTCATACTAATATTCTATCCCGGAGACAGCTCGTCTTGTCCTAGTAATACTATATATCGAAGCTAATTCGGTGTTATTCCTAAATATACTCTGTATTCCAGAGATAATTCGTTCTGGTCCTATTGATACTGTATCCTGGAGATATTTCGTATTGGATCTTTCGTTCGAATCAAAAAACCATCCATTGAACATTAGCAGTTTTATTTTGCACAATCTTCACAAGATTTCCATCAACTAAACTATTCTATGACCTTCTCTTAACTTAAACATGATTAGTGAACAACCCTTAGACATGAGCAGACCATCCTCAGATATTAAGCCCTACCTGGAGCAGAGTTCTGAACCCAACCCGGAGGAAACTTCTCCTCCTCCCCTCACTAAACTGAACCTAGTGAAACCGAAAACTGTATCTTCTCCGAAAGATTTCTTTGCTAAACTATACGGTCCTGATGAAAGTAAATCTGGGAACCCAACTGCAGCTCCTGTTGTCAGCTCTATTCTAACAAATATGTCTTCAAACCTAGGTTTCTCTCCCTACCTTTCTCACTACCCAGATCCAACCCTGTTCAGGTTCGATTCTCTACCTCTACCCGGTGGCCTAGCTGCTTTCCGTGAGTATTTTTCTTCTTTTTTATTTCGCGCATTTTGTACCTATTTTCAAATTGTAAAATTGTTTAGTAGCGCGGCGTCAGCGAAAAGATGCGCGTCAGCGTCGTCAGCGCACAACATTCAGCCAGGAGCAGACTCTAGCATTGGAAATAGAATATCAGAGGAACGAGTATATCAGTAGACCAAGGTATGAAAATGATAATATTAATGACAATAATAGTAATAATAA